CACCACAACTCTCTCTCTCTCTCTCTCTCTCTCTCACACACACACACACACACACACACAAACAAATATTCACAAATATTCCTCCTGCTTTTGGAGCTCTGCCCACTTCTAAAGTATGAATGATGATCAGACCCCCTGTTGGTAGAAAACGCTCTGCCTTGGTCTACTAGAGGTTGACCTAGCAGTGCAGCACATCCCTAAATACTATTTGTGTAACTCCTGAGAAAATGAAATGAATTTATCATATTCTGACAGCCATTAAATCATTAGACTCACTGCTTGTCCGTGAACCAGCGCACTCATAATTTATACTTTTATCTCCTGTGTTTCCACATCTTTAAAAGCATGAAATAATAATGCCTACCTAATTAGGGATGTAGTGACAATTATTTAATTCCTGTCTGTAAATTTCTTTGAAGTGAAAACACCTGCTTCTCCTTTGTCTTGTCTGGTCATTTATAAGTATCCTGCATTATGGGCTAGAAGAATTTCAGCTATGCCTCACAGTTCATTTGTGCCAAAGTGGAAAACCCATAAACTGAAGTACCCCAAATAGTTTAAACAAGGGTAGGCACAATATAGAACACACTAATCGTGAGTGAATGAGAAGGGGTTTTGTCTGAGGTACCAACGGTAGATTAATTTTTTTCAGCTGCTCTGCAGTTGCAATCCTCATGCGAAGATCAGAACTGCCCCTAAGGCAGTATTGCTGGAGGTTTAGAGGAGTCAAGACTGCCTATGATGTGTGTTGTATCTCTAGGTAATGAAAGGGGATCGGGATCAGCTGTAAACAGCAGCAAGAGCACCGTGGATAGCCTTGGTGTCAGACTGTGCCAGGGACAAGAGAGTTTCATACAATGATGAAGACTGATAAGTTGAAACAAGGATAGCCAGGATGTTTTGGACTACAACGCCCATCAGCATAGCCCATTAGTCAAGAATGATGAAAGTTGTAGTCCACAACATTTGGAGGACACCATATTAGCTAAATTCCAGAAAGTTAACTTCCTGGACGGTTCAAATGGAGAGTGCCCTTAAATACCTATTCTATTTATTTTTCTTGCCCACCTTTTGAGGCAACTACTCACAACTGAAGAAAAAACATAAAATAAAAACAACATCAGATAACATTCATACACCGCTGATTCATGTTTGTTAGCATCTCTTGGTGGTTTCCAGCAGTTCCCTGTTCCCTTTGTCCTGTGTTTTCCTTTTCCATGTTCCATTTGCTACATGAGTATACATTTATATTCCTAGTCTGACATAATGTTGCAATGGAATGCAGTGGGCAGAAGGTGGCAATCAAGTCTATAACTCAGGCTACCAAGTGATCAGCAGAGGATGGAGAAGAAAACAGGAAGAGAAACTATTTATATTAAGTGACCTAAGAGCTGGATTCCCGTTAAGAAGACAAAGAAGTCTCATGGACAAGGGCTGTGTGATGTATGTGATCATTAGTAGAGGGCCTGGCTGTGTGCAGCTTTTGCCACATAAACAAGTCGAATCAAATTGTAGTCTTCAGCAGGAGCCATTTCAGATGCAGTCATGAAGCTCATTGACTTTCACCAGCATGACTGCATGAAACTCATTTTTTTTATTTATTTACCTTTTTTTCCAGAAAAATTTGGACTGGTAAATTTGTACATTTTCTGTTTGCATTGGAAAATTTCTTATGCCCTAAAGGTAAAGGACCCCTGATAGTTAAGTCCAGTCGTGACGTGCTTTTGAACTGCTAGGTTGGCAGGAGCTGGAACTGAGCAACAGGAGCTCAACCTGTTGCGGGGATTTGAACCGCTGACCTTTCGATCAGAAGGCCCTAGGCTCAGTGGTTTAGACCACAGCACCACCCGTGTCTGATGCCCTAAAGAGTGATCTAATTTAGCATATTTGCTTTTCTTGAATTTAGCAAAGCTAAAAGTGTTGAAACTGCAAAGCTTGTATGAGTAATTTGTAATCTAATCACTGTTACTAATATTCAATTTCAGTGATCATTGGTAAGGTGAGTCAGGACTATTTGTGCCTTGTTCCTCACTCTCACCACCCCTGTGCTCAGTTCTTGTTTGCTTGTCTTCTCTGTCCACTAGCCTATGTATGCTGTCATTTAACACCACACTCATGTTTGATTTGATCATGGATGAGGGTGATGCTTTGACATGACACCTGGGGATTTATCTGACCCAGGTGTGCCAGCCCAGAGGCTGCAGTGACAGGAGCCAAGGGAGTTGCTATGGTCCATAGGACATCCAGGAAACTCCTATATCTGAACGCTGTCTGTGAGGGCCTCCACCTGGTGTTCAGCAATGGGGATCGTAAACTAGGATTACTGCTGATGTACCATCCACCTTGTTGTTCAGCAGCTTCTCTGACCGAACTGAAGGAGACAGTCTTGGATGTGGCTTTAGGGAAACCCATAGTGATAGTTCTGAGTGATTTCAACATCCATGCTGTGGCTTCCTCTAGCATCTGAACTCAAGACTTCATGGCTCCCATGATGAACATGGGGCTGTCTTGTCGTCATCAGTCTGATACACAGGGTAGGGGACACCTCTGTCAAGGCTTCGGGAATTTTATTCCTCCCCCAGTGGCAGCAAGAAGCAGAGAAAACAAGGTAGAGTCCTTTTTAATGAGTTTATTCATTCAAGAGACCAAAGAACGCAGCCAGCCCTGACAATGGTACTGCTCCAGCTGAGCCCCTCCTCCCTCCTTCCTAGCAACAGCATTTCCCTTTACGGTGGCCACTCGTGGCCAATTGGCGCTGACTCCTTTGTTCCTGCACTCTTAACGAACGCCGAGTTCTGGGAGAAGGGGTGGGTCAGAAATACTCTCCAATGACAATGTGTCAGCTGGCTGCTCTAACCTCTGTCTCCCCTCCCCTTCTCCTAACACTTCCCAACTCTTCTGTTCGTCTGTCACTGAGTTGTGACCTTCCTCAAACCCCTACTGTAAATCAAGGCTTCATTCCTCTTCTCCTGCAGCGTCAGGAGAATGGGTGTGTGATCTCCACCATTCCTCTTCTATCTCGTCCCCTTGAGTCCAGTCCCTGAGAACCCTCAGCTGTGCTCCAGTTGGAGGAAAGGTGGTCTGGAAATAGCAGGGTTTGATCCCTTACTGGTTAAATTTGGACTCACGGCTCCAATCTCCTGCTCAGGTATAGTGGCCACTCACTCATGGATAGACCAGTCAACTCTGTTGTTGTGTTGTGCAATAATGAGACATGCTGGGCTCTTGACACAGTTGCCTTCTCTGGCACTCTGGCATTTTGCACCTTAGTGTAACAGAGACCTAAGGGTAATGGAGCAGGCTGGATGGTGCCTAGAACACAAGTTGCAAAAGACACACTGCAAAGCTGACCAAACACAAAATAAAGCTCATAATGGAGCTTTATGTGTGGTAGTGAGTGCGTCACTTCTCTTCTGCCAGGGATGCAGGTGGTGCTGTGGTCTCAACCACTGAGCCTCTTGGGCTTGCCGATCGGAAGGTCAGCGGTTCAATCCCCTTGACAGAGTGAGCTCCCATTGCTCTGTCCCAGCTCCTGCCAACCTAGCAGTTCAAAAGCACGCCAGTATGAGTAGATAAATAGGTATCACTGTGGCAGGAAGGTACACAGCGTTTCCGTGCGCTCTGGTTTCCGTCACAGTGTTCCGTTGTGCCAGAAATAGTTTAGTCATGCTGGCCACATGACCCGGAAAGCTGTCTGTGGACAAGCACCAGCTCCCTCGGCCTAAAAGTGAGATGAGCGCCGCACCCCATAATTGCCTTTGGCTGGACTTAACCATCCAGGGGTACTTTACCTTACCTCTCCTCTGCCATTGTATCCTCAACCACCCATCCAATGGAGCTTTTTTTGGTAATGTTCAGGGTCTGCTAAAATATACTTACAAAAATTGAGTTTTGGACCCTTTGGAAGCCCAGTGTGACTTATTTGCAAGGCACTTGGAAGTTAAGTTGCTGTGTCTCACTCCCACAATGACTGCATAAACAGAGTGGATAGATCTGGGAGTAAGGCAAGAAAGCTGACATTCCTCAACTCAAATGGATTCCCTGGGAGGATGCATAAGGAAAGTTATGTTGCTATATTCACTGCTGTGCGCAAACAAAAGACTTGGGTTCAATACCCCTATCATTTTTAGATTTTTTTAACAAATCTAGATTTTTAAAATAAAACCCCCAATTTTATGCATATTCATATGGAAGTAAATCACAAATTGTGCCATATTATGTACAGCTCAGATGGGTCCCCAAATATACTTACATTTCTACAGCAGTGATCTGTAAGTTGGTATTAATTAGTAATATTACTTGGGTCTCACTATACTTAAAGCAAACAAAACCCAACAGTAAAACTAACCCTAGCACGCAGAGTTCTCCAAATCCTTTTTCATACACACACACACACACACACACACAGACAGACAACCTAATGCCACCCTCAATTTCTTTAAGAATAATCTTCATTCAGCCTCTATCCTGGACCATATATTTTTTGCACTTGGGATATGAAAACATTTCCCCCTTCCTTTCAAATTGGTAGTCGGCACTGCAAGAGTACATTTTAACCCTTTGCAGCAGGTTCACTTTCAGTTCAACAGGATAATTGATCAGCAATTATGTAGCAGGCAGGTGGAAAATGGGAATAGGGTGGAATTTGCCTGAAAGGAAAAAAAGGATTAAAGAGACCTGGATGCATGTGTCAGGCTCTAGGTCCTTTCCTGTTTCTAACCTTGTGGTGGTGAAGTGATTGGTATCTAATTGCTTCAGGGGTTCCTCCTTGTCGTCTTCTTCTTCTTCTTCTTCTTCTTCTTTTATGAACAGGTCCTGTAATTCTTTTTCCTAGTACTATCAGTGGGCAAATTTGTTTTAGTTTTTCCTGTACGGGGCACCGGTTCTGATTCTTTATGTGTAAGAAACGAAAAGGGTTCAAGGTGTCGGTGACGTTATTTAGTTCGCTAATTGTGATTTTGTTTTTGCAGCATCATACGTAGGCAATTCTGGCTGACTCTTGGGTTTACAAGTGACAGGAAATAGGTAAAATCCTGTTAGTTTCACTTAACTCCTATTGATTTCAGTGGAGCTTAGGTTAGTCATCAAGTTGGCACCTTGAGCTCCTCATTTTCTTATTTGCCCCATCTCTAACAGACAGCAGTGGAACGTCTCCTTTTTTAAAAAAACACAACTGTCTTTGACCTGAATGTGTATGGAATTTGTGAAACTGCAAAGAAGAAATAATGATGGATGATGACTGATCAGCAACCTTCCACGACATGCTGACTTTATATCTGTATATGAGGGAAATGAAGTTTCGTAGATGTTTAATCTAGGCTTGCCAGATATGTCTTACTTGAGGAAAATATCTCTAATTCCTAAACACTGCATTTAATACATTTCCCTCATTCCAAAGCACAGCACTGTTGTAGTCCTGTATGGAAAAGGAACCCAGGGAAGCCAAATGGCATTTATCATTAAAGCCTGATCTAGCCACTGAAGAATGTCTTGGCTACAACCATCTCCGTTCCGCTAGGAGAAGAAAGGGGGCGGCGGCACCAAAAACCAAGAGAGAAGCAGAGGGAGAGATGGCAATTCAAAATGGTGGTAAGAACTTTTTGTGTTTTGATAAATCCTGAACATAAAATCAATTAAAGGTAAAGGGTAAAGGGACCCCTGACCATTAGGTCCAGTCGTGACCGACTCTGGGGTTGTGGCGCTCATCTTGCTTTATTGGCCGAGGGAGCCAGCGTACAGCTTCCGGGTCATGTGGCCAGCATGACTAAGCCACTTGTGGCGAACCAGAGCAGCGCACAGAAACGCCGTTTACCTTCCTGCTGGAGCGGTACCTATTTATCTACTTGCACTTTGACGTACTTTTGAACTGCTAGGTTGGCAGGAGCAGGGACCAAGCAACGGGAGCTCACCCTGTCGCGGGGATTCGAACCACCAACCTTCTGATCGGCAAGTCCTAGGCTCTGTGGTTTAACCCACAGCGCCACCCTCGTCCCTTAAAATCAATTAGTCAATAACAATAATTGACATAAGTATGTTGAATAATCATATAATAAGGAGAGGATGAAAACAAAAATGAATAGTCCCATTCCCCCCCAAAAAAATCACCAAAAGCAAAAAAATAGATATACAGTAATTTTCAGGGTCAATCTTTATGAAATGCTAAAATGTCCAACCCTGTTTCAGTTAAAAACAACCTTCTTTGGGTGCACTGGAAGAAAAAAATAACTAAGTAAACCAAAGTGCAGGCATTAATTTATAGAACAATCAATATTATTATTATTATTATTATTATTATTATTATTATTATTACCTGCCCATCTGACTGGGTTACCCCAACCACTTTTATACACTCTTATACATGGGGACATGGGGCTTATGTTAAAACTTGGTTGGCACTCATGTATCTTGGGAGACAATGCAGGAGTGTACCTTTGGGATGAAGTCAAACCATTGAAGAGTTACAGCTCTGACTGTAGAGTTTGATACAGGAGACACATGCTTTGTTTCAGCTGAGGCAGATGAAGGCACCCAGTTGTACTGTTGCAGGTGCACCAGGGTGTTTCTTCTCTCTGTGCTCCTCCCAGTGTTCATTACTCCTGTGGTCACTTCTATGGATGCATGACCTACCTGTCTGTCTCCAGGCACTGCAGTCACCTGCAAGGTGGAGTTAATGTTGCCAGCTTTCATGTCATGTTTGCGAGTTAAAACTGAAACTAAATCATAATGCAAGTGAGTATCACAGAAATATCCAACCACAAATCCATGTACATTCCATGGACCACCTGAATGAAGCTCATGGGCCACTGGTAGTCCATAGGTCACAGTCTGGGAACCTCAGGAGTTGACAGTAGTGAGGAAGATGGATCAATGGTCCGACTCAGAACGTCAGGCTTCTGGGAATCAGCTTCCTCCCCCCATGGCAGTAGATAAGCCGAACAAAGGAAAAGGAGTCTTCTTACCAGTTAGAAACTTTAATAATCACAGTGAGAGAACAAAGAACACACCTCCTGGAAATGGCGGTGCTCCCAATTAAGTTCCCTCCCCCCTTCATCCCTATTAAACTTCGCCACTCCTATGTCTTGTAATCTGAGCTTGGAGCCGCTGTGTTTTCTGTTCTGCCACTTTCTGAGCTCTCCGGGACTTTAGGAAAGGGGGGTGGACACTCCCCAGAGACTGTGAATCTGTTAGCTCTCTCTCTCTTCTAGTGTTCCTTCTGCTAGCTGATCCCGATCAAATATTTCCCAGCTTCTGCCTTCTGAACTATGCCCCTTTGCAAACCACTGTTCCAAATCTTTACTGTCCTCCAGCTCCTGGGAAGATTCAGGATCAGGACGAGGGGGTGGCTCCCACCATCCCTGCTCAGTACTGCCCTCCTCAGCACAGTCCCTGACACAGTATAAGGCAACTTCCTATGTTAGTATTAATATATGATAAATTATTAATAATGATAACTAATCATATAGACTTAAACCAACTTATTTAAAACATTATTGTGATATAAATCCCCATATTTGATCATTATTTGATTCTTAGCAACATTTTGATGTTTCTCCTCCTTTACTACAATTCTGCTGTGCTAGAAACATCCAGGTTTGGTGTGGAGACACTCTGAACATTATAGCCATGATCTCTGTGGTAAGTTGTTTGTGACAGCATCTTTTTGAAAGTGTAACATGTAGGCCGGCCCTGCACAAGAGGAAAGGAGAAGCCTGAGTGAATGATCCTTCATTTGGGCACTAGTGCCGAGCATTTTGTGGTTGTGACACTGCTTAAAAGTGGAGCCAGTGTAGTGAATTAAAATCTCACATAGGTTTCTTTAGACCAGGTATGAGCATGTTTCAGGCTTGTGTTTTTGCTACAACTCCAAGGTCTGCCAGGTCAAAAGTGACATCTATGGGCTGGAGCCATTATGTACTGAATCCCATAAGTCAAAATATAGCCACATTCACAAAGGTCTTAAACTGGCTACCAGAACCGCACATAGACCTGCTCAAAATCAACCAAATAATATTCATATTTTACTGTAGAGAAACACAAAGGCTGATAAGCTATTAGCAAAAAAAAAGCCAGACCTGACACAGCAGTATTTTATTTTCCTTCTGATTATACAAGCTATTGTTGAATTACTGAGAGTCATGAACCCTTGCTGCAAATCCTTCAGCAATCTACCATATGCCCATTCCTGCCTTAGATTAGGAACACAGGAGGCTGCACTATCCTGAGTCAGACTATTGGTTCAGTATCGTCTACACTGACTGCTAGCAGCTCTCCAGAGTTTCAGGCAGGGAACTTTTCCAAACCAACCTGGAGATGCCAGAGTTTGAACCCAGCACCTTTTGCATTCAAAGCAAATGCTCCATCACTGAATTACAGCCCTTGCCCATAAACTGACAAGTGGTGTGTGATCTCTCTCATAGGGTTGCTGTGAAGATAAAACAAGCCACCTTGAGCTTCACTGAGGAAGAGCATAGCATATGTAGAAAATAAGTAAGCTGGAACACACATGCATTTCCTCTTCCTCGCTGTCCTCAGCCTGACATTTAGCCCCACCATCATTCTGAAATGTGCTTCAGATTGATTTCCCCCAACCCCACCCCCAAAAAATTCATTTACAGATTCATCTCCTTTGCCACCTGTTGTTCCAGTAACTAATATTTTAATAGAAGCTGGTATTGATTTATAGTCTTTGGTTTCCCTTCCACGCTTTGTTCTATGGAACAGCAATGACTTCACTTAGCTAGTATGATGACAATAATAATAATAAAAATCTTCGCAGATAATTAAATGCACAAACTCCCTAAGGCAATGCTTCCTTCTGGCCTGAACCACTTAAACTTTAAAAGGAGCTGGAAAGTGTTAAAGCCTCTATCATTTCAATACTGGAACATGAAATTTGTGACCAGATGCATTAGATACCATTCCTTTAATAGGAAAAAAATGCTTTCATTTTAACAATCAGTGACTTTTTTCTTTTCTTTTTTTTTAATAATTGTGCATATTATGCAAGTCCTTTAATATAATTGTGTCGATTGAATAAGAGATCTGATTTAAGACACTCTATTAAATTACTGGCAGTGGTGGCCAGAGGCTAGGAGTGTTCTTCTTTCATTCCATTCATATTGCAGATCACGGATCCAGTTCCAAGAGTAGTAAAAGGATACATGTTACAGAATACACCTCCACCTTTTGCTGGTTCTCTTAAACTTTTTTAAAAAAAATTTCTGTAAGCTTAATAAGGAAGAATTAATAAGATGCATTCCTTCCAGGTATGTTAATGACATCAGTCTTTCATATTTCTGCCGTATGACAGAGAGATAAAGGCTGTAATTCTATGCATACACACCTGGGAGTAAGACCAGTGAGACTTACTTCTGACTAGACACAATAGGACTGTGCTGAGTTTGATCCAGGCTTAGTCATCCTTAATATAGACCCATTGCAACCATTGTGAATTAACGGGACTAACCTAATCTGGCTTGCTCTGAGCATGACTAAATCTGGATCAAACCCAACAGATTTAATGTGCATTTAAAAGGAGCAAAATTCTATTTTCAGTTGCGGACTTCACTCTGCTCCAACAGCAGAACACATCTTACACTGGGGTACAGTCAATATGTATACAGTGGGTGAGATTCACCTAATGAGCTCCATCAGCAGAAGCCCTGCACAAGGACTTCCGGTTGTGCAATGGGGTTTCCTTCCTTTCCACCCCTGTGTGCCCTCTGAGTCCCCCAAAATTGGCTCGGCATGGAGGGGTTAGAAGAACGTCAAAAACATAACAAGGTTGGTCTTGCTTCAGTTCCAGGGAAACTGAAGCCCAACCTCTGGGATTCAGCTTCAGTTAGTTGGCTCAGATTATCCAAGAGATGGTGCTACAAAGCTGAAAGCACGTGCTCAAGCCACAGCATGCATTACTGCAACAGTGTGTGGATCCATAAGCAAACCTTCATTCATAGATCTAAGTGACTGGGGTGGGATAGAGAGAAGTGGCTTCTCGGAGACCCTGGTCCAGAAGCATATGAGGATTCACACCCAAGTGTTAGAAACTTGAATCTAACCCAGTAGAAAAATTGGTAGCCAGTGCAGTGCTTTCAACAGAGGTGCCACATGCAGAAGCATTCTGCACTAGCTGCAGCTTCTGGACCAAATTCAAGGGCAACTGCGTGTTAAGTGCAGCTATTCCTGTCCAACAATGGCCGTTGCTGGTGACAAAGATGGTCAAAGGCACCCCTGAGCCTCCAGTGATAATGCTAGATCAAGAAACAGCCCTAAGCTCCCCACCTGTTCTTTCTGAAGGTGTGTAACCCCATCCCAGCAGGCAACCCAAAACAACTCACCCACAGAGCCTCCAACCTCTGGGATTCAGCTGCAGTTTGTTAGCTCACATTACCTCCTGATTCAGATGCTCCAGAGAAATGGAGCTGTCCTTGTGCTCCAAATCTAGTGAGTGGTCACAACAATCTCATGTAGGTGTTGAACTAAACACCTATGGTAGCAATTGAGATTAATTTGAAGCATGATTTATAGTCTCATGTTGACCACATAATTTTTAGTTAATCATAGTGCAATCAATGCCCCATTTTAACTGTTCTATCTACGTTGAATATGTATTTACTGAGAAATGGTATTTACTGTGGGACACGGGTGGCGCTGTGGTCTAAACCATTGAACCTCTTGGGCTTGCCAATCAGAAGGTTGGCGGTTTGAATCCCTGCGACGGGGTGAGCGCCCATTGCTCTGTCCCAGCTCCTGCCAACCTAGCAGTTCGAAAGCACACCAGTGTGAGTAGATAAATAGGTACTGCTGTGGTGGGAAAGTCAATGGCATTTCTGTGTGCTCTGGTTTTCGTTACGGTGTTCTGTTGCACCAGAAGCAGTTTAGTCATGCTGACCACATGACCTGGAAAGCTGTCTGTGGACAAACGCCGGCTCCCTCAGCCTGAAAGCAAGAAGAGCACCGCAACCCCATAGTCACCTTTGATTGCACTTAACTGTCCGGGGGTCCTTTACCTTTTTACCTTACTGAGAAATATTTTGTTTACAAGTATTTCCCTTGTACAGGCAGAGAATTTGTCTCAAAGTCAAGACCAGAAATGTCCAGGGGGCGGGGGGATGGTGTTAAGAAGCAAAGCAAAGGAGATGTGGGAAGTGAAAGCAAGGACAAACATTAAGGGCAAGTGTTAAGAAAGAAACCCAGTTGCCACAGAGAACATTTGCAATTCTAAGCACGGGCCCTTGGGCCCTTGTTGATGTTCTGTAATGAGTGAGTAAGAATGACGCAGGCAGCTAAAAGTGGAGGACGGGGTTCTTCGCTCTATTAGAAAGGCCAAATGCTGCCTTCATTTCAGGTTGCTCAACTTCATTACATTCAGAGCAGGTTGCACATGTATGTGATGGCAGACTTTGGCCTCCATCCAGGAGACATTGATTACACGGTCACCAGAGCTAATCACAATCAATGGTGCCAAGAAATTAGGTCATCCTAGTCCAAAACCCAGTAGTATGTGTACTGCAGTATGATAACAGGGACACCAGCAAAATGAATCTGAAAAAGGCAAACATTAGCCCAGTGCTTTGAACTCAGGAGGCAGGTGGCAAGACACACAAAGGAAGGAGTCTGTGACCAGGACTCTACAATTCCATCCCCTTCAGATTCAATAGGACTTACTTCTACATAGACATGGATAGGTTTGTGTTCACAGCTCCTGCGCAAGAGTTAACCTTGGCTTCTGCTTATCCAGAAAAACAGCAGCTTCAGTTGTTGCAGAAGAAGAAATGAACTTCTTGAAGCTATTTAAACTCATTTCACTTATGGAGCCTTGCTTTTCATGTTTGGTTAAAGCCTGCCATATGAAGGAATTCGCTGGACATCCCATGGTGGTCTGGGGCTATGGGTGTCCTATGCCATTGGAAAACTGCCTGAACATTGCCTCCTAAAATTGACTCTTGTTTACATTTGCCAAAATGTTTTCATTATGTCTCCTAGTGTAGCCACTGTTTCAAGAGGTGTGAATCCATGTTTATGGCCAGCTGTGTACCTGAGGGAGCAGTTTTGAAAAAGATCTCTACAGTAGCAACCTCCCCAAACCTTGCTTCCACAATTCCACAAAGGGCAATCTAAGGGACTGTGCCAGAAACCATGCCTGAACTGGGGGACTCTGGGAACTCTGGCCATCAGTCAAGACATTGGTGAGCCTTCACAACAATCAGGCATAATGGAAGATATATTGGGTAAAAACTAGTCCAGTTGACATTAGTGTGGGAGGTTTCTCATCTTGGTTTTTATCAGGCTTTTGACCGAAATCCTGTGCTTCCTTTTTCATTAAACTTATAAACAATCTTCCCTAGTAAAGGGGTTAATTTTAAGCTCATTCATCTTACACAGACGTGAAATATTTTCTCCAGCACATAAATTACAAATTTTAATAAACCAGGACTTTGATTGCTCTATGTGGTTTGACCTGCATTGTAATCTAGGAGAGATGACTTGACACGGTTCCAAAAGTCAGTTTCTGTTTTGCATGTTAGAAGATCTAAAAATTTGGGCATGTACAGGTTTTCATGGCCTATGAGCAAACAATATTGTTGCTCAAAAGTTATTTGACCGGCTCATGAAAATAATTGCTTTTGCCGGAAAGTGATCATTATTTGCTTAGAAAAAAGTTCAATTCATTGTTAACATGGATTATCTTTAATTTATGTTCATATACCCTACAATCATTTCCCCACTCAAATTAAACTGGGTTTGTAATTGGAAACAAGGCTTCAATTTCACCCTACAGCCATGATCACCGAATTTCTTTCAACTGAGAATGCACGATCCAAAATCTGGAAATGTTTCAAGGTCAAGTTCAGTTCCTTGGTGTTCCAAGTTACTAAATCCAAGCTTCTGTGTAATGCAAAAGCTTTGTGTATATTTTCTGCAAATTCAAAAGAATTTAGCAGAGATTGTATGGTTGTGATATATACGAATACATGAATCAGTGATCATGTTTTATTTTTTTATTATATTTATACCCCACATTTCCCCCCAAGACCTCACAACAACCCTATGAGGTAAAATAGGCTGAATAGTCCCAGGTCACCTGGTAAGATTATTGAGTGAGCAGGAATTTGAACCTGGGTCTCCCTGGTGCCCTTGTCCAACACTCTAACCACTACACCACACTGGCTAACCATTTTATTTAATAGCATATTTATTTAGTATTATTTTATAATCTGCTACATTCCTATCCCGTCTCAAGAAGGTGCATGTGGTTTTCCTTGCTTCCATTTTATCCTCACGACAACGCTGCAGCTAGGCTGGGATAACAACTGGCCCAAGGTCACCCAATGAGCTTCATGATTCAGTGGGGATTTGACCCTGGGCCTCCATAGTCCTAGTCTGATGCCTTAATCACTACACCACACTGGCATATGATATTCAAGCATACTGACCATGACTAATTTATTCAGATATTTAGCTATTCAAATATATTGTGAATAAACAGTTATCTACATGACTGTTGTGTTTTCTTCCAAGTGATTTTTCTTCTACTGTCATGTTTCAGAGCAACAGTGGTCAAGGTGCTCCATTTAAATTAGTGGTTTGGAATGAGCAAAATATAGATGAGAAATGATATCCTCTGTATTTAGATAGCCCTTTTGCCTAGACCCTCTCAGATATTCAGGGAGGCTTGAGCCACTGCCAGCTTTTGGGGATCCCTAGCCAGATAATCAGAGAAGACATGTTCATCACATAGAACATCATGGGGTTGGGTGGGTATCTGCAGTTGTGGGGAATTGGTATGATCTGGGGTACTGATTCTGAATTGGTATGATCTGGGGTACTGATTCTGAAGAGCGTTGGTGGCGGACAGCACTAACTTAGCAAAAAGATGAAGCATGCTGCAAAGAACTCCCATTTCTCTATGAAGCCTTCTCTGGATCTACACAGCACCTTCCAGAGCCCATATTACACAGGCATTTCTCTTGAAGCCGTTCTCTTCTACTGTCTTTGCAGTAAAGAGAGAGTAAGTACATTGATGTATTTTGTTTGTTTGAATACTAGTCTCTTCAATGAGCCTGAAGAGTCTATAACCAATCCATTGGAGGGCCATATTGAGTCTCAGTTGTGATGACACAGTCCATTCACACCACATTTCAGGGAATCCTCATTTTCACACTGCAGATGGCTCAGTCAAACAAGTAGTGCTGGTTTGCTCCACAGGATCCCACATTCAAGTATATCACTATGTGGTAAAAATCATAGGTGCTTACATAGAGACAGCATCAGCTATTCTCTCGACAGATTGAAACGAGGTAGCCATGAACATTGAACTATCCTTCTATATACTGGGGCGCGGGTGGCGCTGTGGGTTAAACCACTGAGCCTAGGGCTTGCCGATCAGAAGGTTGGCGGTTCAAATCCCCATGACAGGGTGAGCTCCCGTTGCTCGGTCCCTGCTCCTGCCAACCTAGCAGTTCGAAAGCACGTCAAAGTGCAAGTAGATAAATAGGTACCGCTCTGGTGGGAAGGTAAACAGCGTTTCCGTGCACTGCTCTGGTTCGCCAGAAGTGGCTTAGTCATGCTGGCCACATGACCAGGAAGCTGTACGCCGGCTCCCTTGGCCAATAAAGCGAGATGAGTGCCGCAACCCCAGAGTCGGCCACGACTGGACCTAATGGTCCCTTTACCTTTACCTCTTTACCTTTACCTTTATCCTTCTATATATCTTTTTCTATAGCATCCTGTACATGTATTAAACATTCCTTGTTTGTGTGAACTGAAAGTTCCCTGAAGAAATGGACACATTCCTAACCGGTGACTTGACCTAACCCCATAAGGTTGGCATTGTTCATTTAGGAATGTGTTCATAACCACTTGGTTAGGTGCTGAACATGTTGTGTTCATGTAATCCAGGAATTACACAGCTGATGAAGATGCCATGATAATGATGCCCTAGTAATTTGGATCTAAAGTCCTCAAACCCTTAAATGGTGGTGACTAATGCTATGACTATAGTGTTTCTTTGAGAATATAACAATACTTTCCAATAAATCCCATTGTTAGAGCTGACAGCTCGTCTTTAAACTTCTGAATATTTATGGCTTAGTTGAGTTTGGCTTGTCTGCTTTTAGCACTGTGTCATTTTCCAGGGACTTTTGCACATGATTAACAATTAACTCTGTTTGCTACCCATTGGGATGATTAATGTTCTTATATGAAACAAATTTCTGCAGAGCAAAACACCTTTTGTTTTTGCTAGGCCAAAATACAGAATGTGTGTTTGTTACAAAATGATTTATTATTGAACTTTCATCAGTGGGTTTGCTCTCTGATATTGTATCTCCCCCCATGCACACATCATCTCCTGTTATTGATTAAAACTGAATGTTGCCTACCTCACCGTTACAATGCTACTTCCCCACATTTATTATCAAAAAGTACACCATTCGTAGGGGATACGTTGAAGTATTTGAAATTATGTAGCATAAGAGAATGGTAGGTAATAGATAAATAAACAGGATTTTGAATAGCCTTGTAAATAACCCCACAGAAGTCACAAGCCTGCAAAAATTATGACTACCCTGTCAGAAGCAAGAAGCTGACATTCTCGTGCTAGACCATGCATGGAAATAATTTCAGATTGGTAGCTCCTGAGAAAGTTGCCACTATCAGTCATTCTTGATTAAAAAAATTTATATGCCCCAATCAGGAGACCTTTTTATGCTCAGATGTATGAACAGATCATCTGCATGTGCCAGTTGCCCAGTTGCCTTGTTCCATTAGAGGGTTCTGGTCTCGATTGTTGTGTCAGCTCACACCCTGCACTTCTTCAAGGCACTTAGGGACCATGTATGGTGGCCATTTATATTTAATGGTTCTTTAACTTGTTTGGCTCTATTGTTTAGGCTGAAGTAAGTTCTCGGTGCAGTGCATACTAAAAAGAGCATGTAAAGGTCATCAGTAAAGATTTTACTCTAGGAGCTCAGCCAAGACTAGTATGAAAACTCATTTGTTCATGGATTTGGCAGCAAAGACTGACATGAGCATTTAACCATGGAGATTGTGTACATTCCTTACAGTGTGCTAAATCTCAACATACAATGCCATTCAATAGCATATTTTGTTCAATTAAGTGGATCCTTGACACTTAGTTTAATGAATGCCTTTTTATGTGTATCCAATTATTTTTTTGATATGTTTTCCCCTTTTGCTGCAAGTTGTTAAAGCTTTGCTATGCTCAGTTCTTTTCTCTACTTCAACCCCATACCCTTCTTAAGGTTACATATATTTATTTCTAATCACAAATCTTACATCTTTAATATTAATTGTCTCTTGCTAGCTATCCTGTCCTGGAATCCCTGGGCTTGGGCATCACCAACACAGCAGCCAAAAGAAGAGCCTGGAATTTACATACATAGTAGTATACCATGTGACACAAGAGGTCAGTAGGAACTAACCTGACAGCTGTTCTTTAGCAAGAAGGCCAAATTATCACTGTCAAAGTCTCGACATACATGCATGCTTACCCATCTGCCTATCCTGCTTCATCTCACATAGCTTTCCTCCTTAGTAGCTACTGGCCTTTTGCCTGTGTTCAGGCTTTCCATAGGCATAGGATGCTGAACTAGATGGGTCACTGGACTGATTCAACTGGCCATTACATTTTAATGTTGGGTTTTCCATTGGGGTTTGGGGTTGTGATGTGGTTGGGAGGATAAATATACATTCTGAGCCCAAAACAGGTGGATTCTGCATCCTGCACATTTACATATTCATAATTTATTCTGCTGCATCCAATTATGAGAAAAGGTCAAGGAGTTCTGCAGATCACTGATGTTCCCCCAAACCAGTGGAGATCTTTATTCATGATTCTTTAGCTTTCCTGATGCCTAGCTCCATAAGCCATCAAACCTACAAAGGTGTTTTGTTTTATAAACCATGTGCTCACTGGAAGGACAGATTGTGAAGCTGAGGCTCCAATACTTTGGCCACCTCATGAGAAGAGAAGACTCCCTGGAAAAGACCCTGATGTTGGGAAAGATGGAGGGCACAAGGAGAAGGGGACGACAGAGGACAAGATGGTTGGATAGTGTTCTCAACGCTACCAGCATGAGATTGACCAAACTGCGGGAGGCAGTGGAAGACAGAAGTGCCTGGCGTGCTCTGGTCCATGGGGTCACGAAGAGTCGGACATGACTAAACGACTAAACAACAACAACCAATCAATAGCTTGCAGGATTTTCATGCTAAGGATTGCATTTGGTTCTTTTTTTCCATGTACATGCAAGAAATGTTGGAATACATACGACCCTCCTAAATGGGGTTCTCTGAGCATGGAACTGTCAAATATTGTAGCATTCCTATCATTTCCTTGTGCAATCATAGCAATAATGCATTTTAGTCTATAAAGCTCATGCAAGTTATATTGCCACAGAAGTGTTGCTTATCATGTTTCCTTCTGATCATTTTCAACAGTAGAGCAGTGGGTAGCAATGTCTTTTGGACTGGTAACATTAGGAATTGGAACAGAACCATTATTTTAAGCTAGGCGCGCAAACACAGTTTTGTTAAATGTGTCTATTAACTCTGCTCCGAGATAACAAGTATCCAGCTTAGGCATGACATCATTGACTGGAAAAGCAAAACCCAGACTTTCAATACAAGCTGGCCTGCAATATAAATCCTTGAAACATTCATCCTGTAGGTGATATTTTATCCTGCATGCAACCTGGATTTGTAAGGCTAGCCATCCCTTCTTGAGTCACCTCTGTACAATTTGAAAGCACTGGTGCACAGCTAACTGCTAGTGCATTGTGTTCAGTTCCAGCAGCCAGTGAATGATTTCCAGGAGTTGATTATTCTTGGATGAATTGTTTTCTGACAAAAAGTGTGTGCAGGATTGCCAAACTGTATTTTGTATTTGCTGTTACAAATGTGTAACTGTTAACCAACTGTTATACTCCATTGATAAATTAGTCTACATTGGTGGACTTCATTTTGTGCATTCCACTGGCTATGTTCTTTGATATTTAACAATACAGTCTTCACGCTTAAATGATAGATGTGCTCTTGAAGTATTTGAATGGGGGAGGGGAGTCAGCTTGGTCAACAGGGGCAGCAGCCTCCCAAGAATCCTAGGACACCCCCCCCCGATCCCTGAATCTAGAAATACCCAGCCTCTCTCTTGCCCCCGCCCCACATATTCATTAACTTTTTGCCCACTTAAGACAATCTTTCAGGGTAGACTTCTCTGTAGCTCAGAGTATCTTGCCTGCCAGCCCTTCAACCAGAACCCATAAGCTAGCGCTCTCTCTCTCTCTCTCTCTCTCGCTCTCTCCCTCACACACACAAAATATCACTCAGATCAATCCAGTCTTTTTTCAGTCTCTGTCTCTGATGGTCAATCAGCTGCAAGTCTGGACACATATGCATCTGATGAGCTATTGTGC